CCCCCCCCCCCCCCCCCCTTCAAGGACCCTGTGCCCCTGCTCGCTGCACAGACCTCCATGCATTCTTCTCCGCAACAACAACCAAACTTCCCACGGCCACATTTAGCCGCAATATGGGCACACAACAACAAGTCCCCGCTTGCATTCAGCATAACTTGCATGTATTGGCGCAAACAGCCCGTGTGCGCAACAGGACTTCTTGGACACCAGCCCCCCTCCTCCTCCTCCCCACCTCCAAAACAAAAAAACACACGCAAAGCCTCAGTGTGTCTGTAGATAGAAAAAAAAAAAAGAAAGAAAACAAATCTTCAGCACTTACAATTTTACTGAGATCCATGATCGTCCCCCCTCTAAAGCGGCCAGCGAGGATCCTTGGAGCCGCAGCCAGAGGTCCGCTGACTTTATCCTAACGCGGAGTAATTAGTAACGGGGACGAGATTGAGGCAACAAATGCATTTGGGAGGAGAAGAGGAGGGCGAGGAGGGTGAGGAGGGGGGGGAGGTGGAGCGGGCAGTTAGCTCAACATGTGTCCCGATTTGGTATTAAAAAGCTCCCCTTATCCTTCCTTCCTTCCTTCCTTCCTTGCGTCCTCCCTTGCTTCCGCGTCCCTTCTCTCCTTCTTCTCTGCGAGCCCTACGTGCTCCCTTATCGGCGAGCACTTCCAGCATCCGAGCGCCGAGGAGCACCGAGGCTGTCTGGAAAGGAGATAAAAGCCCTCCGGAGCACTACTGATGGTAACAGCCGCTCATTTAAAGCCCGCTGCACACTGGGAAACAAAAAGCACCCTGCTTGTATGTATCAGCCCACATAGCGGCTGAGAGCGAGACAGTAGGCTACCTTTATTTTGCAAATAGCCCGCTCTCTTGTTAGACAATAGTAGCATGGAGCCTGCAGAGTGGGATGGCTCCAACCCGGAGGTTCCCAAGCTGGGGTGCGGGGGCCGCCGGGGGTCCTGTAAGAGGGGAGGTGAAGTCCAGGAAATGAGAAATAAACAGCTGAATTTCAACCACTGCTGCTCTATTCCTTAGGAGGTAGTGTGATCACAAGGTTGTTGTAGTTTTTTCTATTGATGGGTTCATCTCACCTGCAGCAGGAGGACTACAGAGATAAAAATAAAAACATCTTACAACAGGATGTCCCTGTGTGATGATGTCATTGTTGTGATTAAAGGGTCATTGTGAGGAGACCCCTCCACCTCCTCTGAGTCCTCAAAATATGACACAAATGGCTCCTGTTGTAACACCACAAAAACACGACATGATGGCACATGGTCGGTTTAATAAGCACACATTTGTTTTTGTTTTTTAAAGGCTCGAGGGTTTCACCTTCTGGTCTTGTTTTTGTGTCATATGCTTATAGAAAACATATGAAGTCTTGAAATGAGCATGTTTCAAAAGCTGAAAAGGGGGGAAAAAAGCTTCCATCATGAGAGCAATTGTAGGTGACTGATGCCCCCATCTGGTTTCTCTGAGACTGTCATCAAAGCAGTACAGTTGTGTTTGGGTTTGAGCCTGGCACTGAACACGTTTTACAAGACTTTTAGAATAAGCATTTTATACGGAAGACATTTATACATGTCACAGTGGGATGTGCAGTGTAAATAATAAAATGAATGAATTAATAGCTGAATGCTATTTGGCTGCTTCAGCATTCTGGTCTGTATCATAACATAAATCATATTATATTAATTATTGTAATAAATAAATGCACTAACCACAGTTATTTAGCTGCAGTCATATCCTGTCATTTCTGCTTTACAGTCATTAATTTAAATAACAGTCATATCGTCTATTTTTTATATTTCTATATATTGTGTCTTTTTATTGTCTGTATTTCAACCAACTCGGATTCTGATTCATTACAATCTATACAAAAGGAAGACGCTTAATCAGACACTTTAGTTAGTTAGTTAGTTAATTAAATCAACAGTTAGTAAATGTGGACCCAACTGCAGACAGAGAAGTGGCTGATATTTTTCCTCTCACCTCCTCAACACATCATAGTCCTCGTGAAGGTGGAAGGTCTATAAGCAACGCTCCCACATTATCCTACATGTAACAAATGCTGAATGCCTTTACCTGCTGTATATGCTGCAGATTGTCAGGGACATTTTCCCAGGTCACATGAGGTGTGATGTTGATGGGAATTTGTGGAAAAATGCGAAACCCATGGCTGACTGGCATTGCTGTAATATACCGTTTACCAGGTCTATTCTATTAGCAGGGCGCTTCAAGTGGCCGACAAACTGACGAGTGAGCATATGTGCTGTACCAATCAGGATGTGTAAGGATGTAGTGACATCGCCAATCATATCTTTAACAAATCAATATGTGAGTTCTGACCACGCTTATAGCTTTTTAAAACATCTGGATACTGACGGTCAGAAGCAGGGAAGTGCTCTACTGATAATAACAACTGTCAACCATGAAACTTAAAACTAACAATAGGAACTGCCGTCTCCAAATAAAACCAATGTGTTTAACTCACAATGAGTGTGTTCGGATAGTTTAAGACCATAAAATTCAGAGGCAACACATTGAGAAACACCAAACTTTCTGGACAAACCTAAAGCTAAAAGACGGTTTTAAATAGAAGCCCTAATTGAATCTGTAATTGAATATCCCTGCTGTATACGATGGCCATCTGCATTGCTTACTGTTCCAAGCTGCATGCTGGTAAAGATGAATAGAAATAAATATGTTCAGCTTACCCCATTCACACATTTCAATATAATGCAGTCAATTTCAACACAACCACCTCTACAAACACAGTTAAATTAACACGTCTCTTTATTGTGAGAATTTAATGACATGTTACAGCAGTGTTGAGAATAAAGCTTTAATGATCCAACATTATTATTATTATTATTATTATTAGTTTTTCTAATGTACATTTGTTTATTAAAATAGATAACAATGCCACTCTCACAACAAACAATAAGCCGATAAGATCCATTTTAAAATCCAGGCCACTTGTTTTAAAAAGGCCTCTGTACACTCTCAGAACATGAGCTGACCAACTGAGGCCAGGCCAGCCACAATAATCGATATCCTACTCATTATACCACCGGGGCTGCACATTATACCTCCAGGCTGCTCAACATAAACAGTCTGTGTCCAGACAATGCCGGCTCTTTCCCCCCCCCCAGAGTCTCTACACTTCCTGGTACGGCGTGGGCCCTTCGTTGTGAAGGCAGCCTAACAGAGCATTTCTCACATACAGAGTCCCACTCTGTCTTTGACTGGCTTTTCACTCAGCCGCCCAAAAACCCTTCCTCTTTTTATACAGTTTACCAGCCTGGAGTCCTCATCTTAACCAGGGTGTATACATTATTTAAAAAGCACCTGTTGTTTCCTCTGCATAGACAGATATGTGAAAATGAATACTGGTGAGTAAGGGGCAGGGCTGTTTGTTTTGTGCTGTCAGCGTCCATTATGTGTCATCTCCTCTTTACATTTTTTCCATTTCAATTAGCTTTTTAAAATCAAGTCAAGCACTAATGACACCGAGTATCTTCCTTCCTCAAGTATTACAGATTTACCGTGTTGAAGGACAAGATGAGATTCTAAAAAAAGGAGATGAAGTTCCAGCTCCTATTTATTGCTGGAGAGGAAAGTTAACTTATCAAACATCACAAACTTCTTCATGTAACGGTGTCATCAGACACTGCAAATGCTTCTTTATGTCTAAAGGTTTTCTTACGCTTCATTAAGTCCATAAGTCCTGCTAAAGTTTTAAGTCAATCAATACCTAACAAATCTGTTATAAAAACAAAAATATGAGTAAGTCTTAATGTTAAACGGACTCCTAACCGTTGAATTAAATATTTACTGCAGCTATGAGGTTTTCAGCTGACACCCTTTGTAAGTTATACTTTTACCAGGTATAACTATTAGGTGATCCACATTAATGTCCTTTGAATCATTTCTGTTGAGTAATCAGGTTTAAACTGCAGGGGGGTTAAAGTCCTCTAACGTAGAGATCTCTTGCCCTCGCTCACGAGGGGGCTGAGTCTGAGGTTATGATGTGTTGTGTTTGTGTCTCAAAATGCAAAAACGAAAACAGAGACTTCAGGTGCTCTGCTGCATTAAAGCAGGTTTGCAGAGAACATTTAGGCCAAGACATCAATCAGACTACCAAGTAATCGAAAGTAAAATCCTGCTTGTGTCCTTTGAATGGGAGCTGGGTGCTGAGCAATCTGGCATAAGGAACCATTATTTAATTAAAATGTTTAAATCTCTCCTTTTTTACTGGGATTTTCATATATACACTTGTATTTGGGCAGGGAAGAGGTGTTGCCTTGTTTTGTATCAGTTTATTCACTAACAAGTTATAAAACTTGTAAAATGTTGTCAATAACTATTAAATAGGCTATAAATCATTCTGCCCCTTAATTAATGCAAAAAACATGTATTTCATGCATTTAGCATTTAGTATGACGTCATTATATAGACAGATTTTCTCTCAGCGCCTCTGACTGTGACTGACTTCCAGCATCCCTGGTCCTTTGTGCTTATTTTAGCCATAACAAGCTTTCCCTTTCATTTTGACGTGTTGTATAAATTAACAACCCATGTGAGTTGGCGTGTTCAGTATGAGGGCTGGGCAATAACACATTATTATTGTTAATGAACTTTTAGTGGAGTCATAACCTGATTTTATCATTGCAAACCTCGGCTCCTGAACATTTGTTATTCTAAACAAGTAATTAGAATAAAGTTTTGTTTTTCAAAAAGGTACTTTTGTCTGATGTAACGTAGAACAGTAAGAAAGTTTATTGCGTTAAACATCAGTTTAATCCCTGATACCAGAAACTATCCATATTGATATTTATTTCAACCATATGCATTCTGTAGCTGAGGACTGTATTGTATTTGTATGATTATTTAAAATGAGGCCACTCACGTTGAAGCAGGCTCATTTGCATACCACACGCTTACACCCATAATGCAGGTTTCAGTCTGACTTCTGACCTCGCTGCATGTGAAACAAAAAGCAACACTCCATCTCTGTCTCTCTCTCTTTCCGCTTTACTGTGCTGTAAAACACAGAAGAGAACTCCAAAACAATCTGTAAATCAAAGCCATTGTTAATGCCGCCAGGAACTCATCGGTGCACTTTGTTCCACTTACTGACCTGTCACTCATGTCCAGCTCTATTATTCTACAGCCAGTCAGTGCAATGAGGCCACAAACCACCGCCTGCTGTTTCTGCTGCCTCAGTGCTTTTAATGGTCTCGCTTTCATGCTTGCATGCTTGTCTGTGTGTGTACTGCATGTATGCGGATGTCCTTCCATAACTTCCCTGCATTTTGAATTGCAGGATGTAAAAGAAGACTTGACACAATGAGCAACGGAGGGGGAAAACAACAAGACAAAAAGAAAGACAAAAGACGGAGGGAAAACAGAGGCAGAGACAGGGTTATTAAAAAATTCTTGTCTATGTCCGCCCTGCTGAGTCCTGCTGATGCCCAAGGGCCACGGCCCCCACTCCTCCACTGAATTCCACAGCTGCCAGGGCACCAAACAGCACTAAAAGAGGGGTGCAGACCAGGGGAGCCACAAATACTGTACACCAGTGATTCCCAACCAGGGGTACTTGTACTGTACAGAGAGTGCTTCTGCAATTGCCAGAAGGTATATGGGTAGTAGTAGTAACTCAACTAATTTGATAAAACGGTTGAAAAGGAGACCTTAAAGTAATGGATGAATGAAAAATGAATGGATAACGGTGGAAATAGTTAGCTAAAAGGGGAAATAGCTAAAAGTAATGGATAAATGGTTGAAAAGTCGAGCTTCTGCCGCTCCAGGTAGAAGAACAAATGCAAACTTG